ACAAAACACTATAATATCACAGAAGAATGAAGTTCTCTTTCTTATAAAACACTATAGTAGCACAAAAGAATGAAGTTCTCTTATTTATAAAACTATAATATCACACAAGAATGAAGTTCTCTTATTTATGTAACACTATATTATCACACAAGAATGAAATTCTCTTATTTATAAAACACTATAATAGCACAAAAGAATGAAGTTCTCTTATTTATAAAACTATAATAGCACAAGAATGAAGTTCTCTTATTTATAAAACATTATAATATCACACAAGAATGAAGTTCTCTTACTTATAAAACACTATAATAGCACAAAAGAATGAAGTTCTCTTACTTATAAAACACTATAATGACATCTATAATAGTGGAGTAATATTATTCATGAAACTGTCCATAATGACATCAATAATAGTGGAGTACTATTATTCATGAAACTGTCCATAATGACATCAATTATAGTGGAGTACTCTTATTCATGAAACTGTCCACAATAACATCAATAATAGTGGAGTACTATTATTCATGAAACTGTCCATAATAACATCAATTATAGTGGAGTACTATTATTCATGAAACTGTCCATAATGACATCAATTATAGTGGAGTACTCTTATTCATGAAACTGTCCATAATAACATCAATAACAGTGGAGTACTCTTATTCATGAAACTGTCCATAATGACATCAATAATAACATCAATAATTGTGGAGTACTATTATTCATGAAACTGTCCACAATGACATCAATAATAGTGGAGTACTATTATTCATGAAACTGTCCACAATGAACAGAGAGAATATTTTAACCCCATCCACGATTTGTCCAGGATAACTCAGGTACCCTCTATGTTTCAAATAATATTTGCCTGAGTTAATTGAGGTAAACCATTTCTTGCCACATTTTTTACTTGCCCAAATTTATCTACATATTATCATGTATTATAATCAGTGCTCACTGGATGGCACTGGAAATGCTGTTTGTATTTATCACTAACGGATATATATTTCAAATTACACATCATATAAAATTGGAGAAAACCATTCCTATTCTTTAGTGTAGTTTCATTGAATCTATAGTATTTAGCATTTATTTATCAAAACATTTTGGGAAGAAATTTAATAAAAGATCGTAAAAAACTTTTCTTTCCTTAATATACAAGTATAAGCTATGAAAAAGGTAAAAAAAATGTATATGGAAGGGGTTAATAATGGATTTATCCTCTAATGATTAACATGTTAACATTGCTTTTCCTTACATGATCAACCAATCAGCACATGATATGATAAACATCTATCTCACTTCATTACATGAATATATACACACATGATTACTGATGTTCACGGGATCAATAAAATAACATACAAATCTATTATTTATCTACTCACTAAGAAAGCCTTTATATAAAGACAAAGATGTATACTTTTACACAAGTTCCTCACTTATTAAAATAAAACTTTACACTGATATGTGTGTGTGTGTGTGTGTGTGTTGATACTGTAAGTATATTTGTTTACAAACAGTAAGTAAAATAAACACTGAACTTAACTGTATGGGTGACAAATTTATTTGAAGCAAAATCTTCTAAATATATTTTTTCATGAATACCATAAACAAAACAAAGAAAAAAACTTTTCTTGTTACAAGACATTTTAACACCTTGTTATTTTGAACATTCTGATGGAACAGGCAATATTATATATAAACAACTCAAACACTAATTAATACTTCATTCGTTAAGCCTACTTTTTGAACATTCTATTGTAACAGGCAACATGATATATAAACAACTCAAGCACTAAGTATGACTTCATTTGTTAAGCCTATTTTTCCTACTCATTGTTAATGCATTAACTTACCAATTGAACAGCCACGGCTAACTCAAAATGGACTAACTCATTGTAAAATACTGGTTTTTTTATCAGCAACAATGCAATTGCTTGTAAACTGATAGCCATGGCTAATCCAAAAATGCATCAACTGATTTTTAAAATTTTATTATATTTTTTAAGTACCAGCAATACAGTACCAAATCAATTACTAGCCATGACTAATCCAAAAATGAGTTAATGAACTGTTAAAACAAAATAACTTACCTTCACATCTTACAGCACAGTTGTCCTCTATTCTCTTTCTACACACGTTACAAAACTTCCTCTTTAGGTGGCCAGGCTCTGTCCAGCAATGTGGAACAGGATTCTAGAAACATAAGGTTCTTAGCATCAATATCAGAGTTACCTTCCCTCCAGCCATGAAACTGAGTTATAGGAGGCCACCAAAGACATGCAGAACAGATTCAGAATACTGAAATAGTAGTTTGGTTTTGTCAGTCAAAAGAAATAATAAACTGATGAAATAATAGCAATATTACTACCATTATTCTGAACAGCAGAGTAACAACATGGCAATAAGAGAATAAAATAAAAACTTTTTAAAAGCCATTTTCATCAACTAAAAGGCACAGTCTATATTTACAATAGTCTGTTGTAGTGCTTCCCAAACATAATTGTGCCATGCAAGGGTCTCAAGTGTGCCATGGAATTTTTTAATTATTAAGTAATTTTTATTTAATGAGTAAATTTATTATGAATTTAATAAATTTTTAAAAATTCCAAGTTTGATTTATTTTCTCCTTGATACGCAGTTGTCCTCAAGGGAGGTGCCGCTAGACCTGCCATATGGATTTATTTACATGTGCTGCAAAATGTATAGGACATTAGAAGTGTGCCACGAGCTGAAAAAGTTTGGGAAACACTGGCCTATTGCACTAGTATTTCACCTAGAATTGATTAACATATTAAAAACAGTACTTAAAAATTGAATATATACATATAAATGTTTCAACTTCTCAATATGTTCATTAAAATATTCAACACTGAATTTCATCACTTCACATCCTGGTACCATGAGCACTGGTACGAGGTGGACAGTTGCTGGGTTCAATGTTCCCAGGAAAAAGTTATCAACTTGTATCCATGTTGTGTAATTTATGTGTAGACAGTGCATCTTGTCAGGTTCGTCTAAGTTAGTCCTGTTAATATCTAATAGTCCTAACATGTTCTTATAACTAGAATGAAAATATTGGTAAAAAATATTATACCATAATTTTAAGGTCAAAAACTTTAAAATTCTGTATAAAAAACACTGCCTCCAACTGAAGGACATTGTGACTAACTGTACCAGTGAGACAATTAATTCATGCCTATTTGTGTTAAATACCAGCACACATGCGCTAATTGCACAGAGAGTCAACAATTACAGAATTGCTCGTTGCTGTGGTGTCTCGTAATTGTACATGATACTGCACATTTGAGACAAGGGCCAATTACACAAAGTTTTTACTGCATGATTAAAATAATATTATTTGACACATTTTTTTTATATACCAGAACTTGATGTAAAATCAACGATACATTTATAAAGAAGAATGAAAAGTTCTGACCAAAATAGGAATTTTGTATGGCACTGAATTTAAAGGTGGATTTCTGTTCATTTAAATTTTTGTGTTAACGTTTACAGAAAATATCTTGTTCATTGCTGTTGTGCTAGTCAAACTAATTTCGGCATCAGATTATTGTAACAGTGCTCCTTCTTTGTCAATGCGCAGTCAAGCTAGCTATCCCTAATTCTGCACCACAATCACTTTAACAACTGTTATGAACTCAGCTACATCAAAATACGTTTTTCTGTCCTGTTTCTATAATATGTCAAATGTTTTAAAACTAAGTTTATGAAATTTGCAATATTCAGTTATCAATTTTACATCTGGTTTGTTTTTGTGTGCTTAGTCAATAAAGAAAACAAAATCTTCTGATGATTTTGAAAATCACTTTTTTTTTTAACTCAGATCAAAAAACAACCTGTTTTGAAAGGATATCGGAACTTGTGGCGTTATATTTTTTAGAGATTAAAAAAGTTTCATTACTTCATGAATTCATGTTGTTTAGAGTTACTGTTTCGTATACTGTGTATCAGTCTGATGAAAACTTATGTGCTCCTTGCATTTCGCCAGATGTTGACCAAATTCTGAACTCTCATTAAATTATTAGTTTTAGGTTGTTTTGTGATTCCGACAACTTAGTTGAATAAATTTTGAAGTTTTCGTTAAAATTCTTTAAACATATATAGGGTTTTTTGGATAAAATACTTTTCTGCAGATAAGAATTCACAATAATCTTCCTTAGATACTAATTTATAGTCGACAATTAAGCTGATCAAGAAAATTTAGATTAACAAATTTGAATGTCAAATTAAAAATGATACAAATTTCTCAAAGTTCCCACATATATGCTTCTAGCTATATTGTTTATTTGTAATTTTTAAAAAACTTTTTTGAAATGTTTAAACTTAAAAGCTGACAGTGAGTTCAACGTAAACCATAGAAATATAATACCAGAACTTAAAATTATATGTGACATATAACAAACTGTAATTAGATGGACTACATACACAACTAAAAAAAAAAACATTATTAAACCATTTTTCGGGGATTTCTTAGTATAAATATAAGTAAATATTTCCTAATGTTAACTTACTCATCCTGCCATCAGTGCTGAATGAAAGAATACCCACCATTTTTTTACTTTGAAACTTTTATAAATGGAAAATCAACAAGCCTATTGCATAGGTTAAGCAATTATAAAAGACTGTTAATTTGAGGCATTATGGGAAATACCTCTAGATACTCTTTATGAATTACAAGTATCAGTTGCTAGAAAATGGGAGTAATAAAACAGATCTTAAGTACCTCACTGGTCTTGTCATCAATGCTTCAAAGTGTCTCTTTATGAAAAAAAGACCAAACCAAAATATTTCAAAAAATAACTTTGTGTTTAACTTTAATAACTTTTCAAATGTTTGATTTTAATTTCATTTGAAAATTACTTTAAACTTGCAAGATGACTCTAATAACTTGGTAGACAGTTAAACAACTTACTGTACGTGCACACATATTAGAATTTTCCCTAAATTATATTTTAGACAAATGAAGCTTTCTTTTAAATTCATGTTAAACATAAAACAGCCACTCAGAACCTATGTTTATAAGCTCTTTATGTTTTATTGTATTTTTCTTTACAGTACAAAAATGTTCCAAATAGTTTTACCAATTTTACATTTTAGCTGTATTAAATCAAATAATTTTGTAACTCGAACCATACATCTATTGTGATCTTTGATTTTAAATGTATGAAACAAAACTATTACACATATTTATCAAAATGGTCATCAAATAGCTTGTTTAATTTCAAGTTGCTTCAGTCATACATGTAATATTTACCTCACAATGTTCATAAAGACATCATATTTACAACATCTGATGCAACATGCTTTTTATTTCTCCCCATATCCATACTATAGCAATATGTCTTCTTAAATGTATGTCAAAGGGGAAAATCAATGACACTGTATAGTCCAGCTTGTTTTTATATAAATGCTGTATTTACACATGGCATGTTAAAAGTATTATTATGGGTCTTGTTTGAAAACCATTACAACTTTTGTATGTGATCCTGTGTGCTAACTTCTTAATCAGAAAGTATTATTATAGGTCTTGTTTGAAAACCATTACAACTTTTGTATGTGATCCTGTGTGCTAACTTCTTAATCAGAAAGTATTATCATGGGTCTTGTTTGAAAACCATTACAACTTTTGTATGTGACCCCATGTGCTAACTTCTTAATCACAAAGTATTATCATGGGTCGTGTTTGAAAACCATTACAACTTTTGTATGTGATCTTGTGTGCTAACTTCTTAATCAGAAAGTATCGTTACGACAGCGTAAGTCGCGCGATACTTGGAGCATGTGCTGGAGTTCTAGAAAGATCGTGACTGTTCCTCACAACTCTAGGCTTTTCTAGGCATGCTATGTTCTCGTATATAAGCTGGCAAATAAAGTGATGGCAGAGAAATAATTGCAGACAGACAGAGAGGACAACTGAGTCAAGCGCGGTAGTGACCGAAAGTAAAGTGCATGAATTGTTGTGAATTATAGCATGTGTTTAAGTTAAAGTGACTGTGGAAATTAAGTGTATTGCAAAGTTGTATCGAGAAAAAATAAACTAGTTTTATTTAAGAAAGGACTTGTATCGCTGAAGTTTCTGGGAAAGAATTTCTACCGAAAATTAACAAACGGACAGAGACGTAACAGTATTATTATAGGTCTTGTTTGATAACCATTACAACTTATGTATGTGATCCTGTGTGCTAACTTCTTAATCAGAAAGTATTATTATGGGTCTTGTTCTTTTTTCCAGCTTGTCTCTAATATAGCTTCAGAATATTTTTTTTTATCTTTAACAGAAATGCTTTATTAAGTTCTTCTTACTTGTGTAGTAACAAACAGTGCATGTTTGAAGGTAAAGGTAAATGCTTCCATATGAAAATGAAATCTAATTTTAGTTTTGGATTAGTCTAATAATCAATGTTGCTATGCAACTGAGTAGTGATGAGAATTCAATACACTGTATATTAATTAATGGATTAGTCTAATAATCACTGTTGCTATGCAACTGAGTAGTGATAAGAATTCAATACACTGTATAATAATTAATGGATTAGTCTAATAATCATTGTTGCTATGCAACTGAGTACTGATAAGAATTCAATACACTGTATATTAATTAAATTAAACTAAAATCTAGTTTTATGACCTTTGATATGCAACAACTCTGATACTAATTTTTGAAATCTCATTACAATAAGCTGCACTTTCTCTGTGAGACCCTGACTGACGAGGGCACATGAATGTGTCTAAACTAGTGTTGGAGTCTTTGTGTCAAAAAGAAGTGTTATAATTACTCATAAAAGGTTGAAAGGCCAAATCACAATACAAATGTGAGGTAGTCTTCCACTATATTAGGTCAGTCATGGACACACCAGTACAGTCTGATATCCTGGTGGGAAATAAATATTATAAAACACAAATCTTGGACTGTTTCATACTTTGTTTATTGATTCTGTTGATACGTGAAAGTCAGTAAGTAAAATGTATGCAGAAGTAACAAAAGTAACATGTATACATTCACAATTAGATTAACAAAAATTTATAATTGACACACTAAAATGTGTACATTTAATAGAGCAGTGGCCACTGCCATAACAATCAATACCAATTGGTAGGAATTAAATCAAATCAATGTTATATCTTTACAATAAAGAAATGTTTGTGTTTTACTTTATATTTTGTTCGGTATAGATTCTTGATGTGATAACTAAGAATTTTGCCTTATCATATGATGGGTATAGCAATGGGCTGAAGGAAAATGGAAAAAGGCACAGAAGGAAGACCAATAGATACTTGGTGTAGAACAGATACAAAATAAAGATCTAGACAGAAAATATGCTGAAAGCACAGTAGAAAGCCTTCATAGCTGGCCTATCGACCATTTGAGGTCTGGAAAGGTCTGATGATGATAAGACAGGTATAGTTAAAGCTTGATTAGATATTATAGATAAAAGTTATATTTATGAAGGTGACCTATATAAGTTTACATTTTACAATAAAACATTGAATGGATTGTCTTATTATCTTTGTGGAGATATATCAAAGTTCAGAAGGATGTCTAGAGTGTTTTCTAAAAACATCATGTTACAACAAGTTAATAGAACTTTTACACAGATCATAATCCAAGTTACAACCATAGTTCAGCAGCATTTCCTTGTGTATTCAAGTATAAACAAGCACAGTTTCATTTGAAATACTTATAAATTTGTGTAATTTGTCCTTGTGATGTCACTACATAAGCAAACTTTTCCTTTTATTTAGAAGTAAAACAACAATAATCCATTACGATCTACACTGATTTCTTATTGTTCTTTTTCAAGTACAACATTTGGAATTGGCAATCTTAAATATTTAAAACCATAATTGATCAGGTTACTTGATTCTCCTCTACATTTTCTGCCAATAAATTCTCAGTTATTGCAGTAAGTAAGATAACTGGGTAAATAATATCACAATAATGTTGAAGAATATTTTTATCGTTTCTTTGTTTTGAATTTTGCGCAAAGCTACATGAGGGCTATCTGCACTAGCCATCCCTACTTTAGCAGTGATAAACTAGAGGGAAGGCAGCTAGTTATCACCGCTCACCACCAACTCTTGGGCTACTCTTTGATCAACGAATAGTGGGATTGGCTGTCACATTATAATGCCACCATGGCTGAAAGGATGAGCATGTTTGGTGGGACAGGGAATCGAACCTGCAACCTTCAGATTGCAAATATTTTTATTATTGCCCATCACTACTATACTTTTAGTTATGGACAGAATGGTTAATACTTCAAAAATCAATTAATGACAATTTACAAATCTATTGTTAAGCTTAATCCATCAAGGAATTCTTTAGGTATATGATGTGGATTGGGTCTCTTAAAAATGATAATTGGGAGCTGATCTCAGGAGATTATGAGATGGAAAACTTACTAAATTATATGTTCCCTTCAGTTTTTAGAAAGGAAGATACAAGTATTATGCCTCAACCAAAGCACTCAATGTATGGGAAAAATACTGTTGTAAAAGACATAATTTTAAGTTCTGAAATTGTAAGAGAAAATTTGAGAAACCTCAAAATTGATAAATTCTCTGAACCAGACAATTAAAGTTATAAAGGAACTTAAATATTTTATTTGTGAACTGCTAGTAATATTTTTAAAAGTCATTGAGTAGTGAAAGAGTATAAGAAGATTGGAAGTTGGCTAATGTTAATCCAATATTTAAAGAAGGTGATAAACATTGTCTAGGCAATTATAGGCCAGTTAGTCTTACATCAGTAGTTGGAAGGTTTTGCAGAGTCACTTAGAGCAGTTTGATATAGTTTCAAAGAGCCAGCATAGTTTCATTAAAGGAAAGGTTTTGTTTAATAAATCTTCTGACATTCTTTGAGGATGTTACTGCAAAGCTGATGAAGGAAATACTGTGGATTTGGTTTACCTTGATTTTCAGAAAGTGTTTGATAAGGTGCCTCACAAAAGACGTGTTACAAAAATTAAATCTGTGGGTGTGGAGGAAATGTTATTAAATCAGATAGACAATTGGCTGGAGAGTATAAAGCAGAGAGTAGTAATAAACGGAGTTGGATCTGACTGGATCACAGTTACAAGTGGTGTGCCTCAGGGCTGTGTGCTAGGTCCTCTGCTGTTTGTAATTTATATTAATGATATTGACTCTGGAATGACTAATAAAATTTTGAAGTTTGCAGATGACATTAAGCTTTTTGGGGTAGCTAACTGTATCAAAGATGATGCAGACTTACAGGGAGATTTAGAACATTTGATGTATTGGGCCAATACATGACAGATGATGTTGATATTGATAATATAGATCTATCAAACTTTTTTTGTGTTTAGCAGTGAAAACAATAGGGCAAGGAGTCATAAGTTCAAATTTTGGCACCATATGATTCATCTGCAGTTTAGACAGTATTACTTTTCAAACAGGGTGGTTGGCTGTTGGAATGAGCTGCTTTCAACAATTGTGGAGGCAGAAAATTTAACTGTGTTCAAGAAAAGATTGGTGAATACATGAGTAGTAAGAAGTGGTTATAGTTGGGAGCTGGAAGGGACATCCTTGATGGGCTAATAAGCTCCTTTGTGTCCCTTTAAAATTTTATTAAATTTATGAAGTATAACTCATGCATGCATGATACCATTGGTATGCATGTTATTAATGTTAATAAATATATGCTTACAATCTTTTCAGTAATCAATAGAGAAACTTCTGTGAAAGGTGGCAATATCTGTTTCTTAACAGTACTCTTACTTATAAAAATGTATGTCTAATTATAACTATGCATATTTTGCCTCTTAAAAGTTAATTTTTATGCACCAAATTTGGATAAGGCTCAGTTTTACACTACAGGGTGTCTGAAAACTTTGGAACCATACGTGATTTGCAGCTTTTCTTAATTTCAGATGTGTGACTGGTTATGGTGCTGTTAAAGCATAAGGTCGAGTTAATCCTGCTGGTAATTCAAACTTGTTTCAAATTACAAGGGCAGCATGTAGAACACATTCTATAAAATGTGTTAATGTGCCTATGATTCTAGACTTTTTGGACACCCTGTCATGATTTGTTACAAGGTTAACTAGTACGTATTTAACAATTTGTATGCTAAGTTCATACAGTGGCTTCCTGAAAAGAAAAGAACAAACAGATATCAACATACCTTTAAAACATGAATGGCATTTGTAGAACAAGGAGATACAACTGTCTTCAGGCAACGGTCATGGACAACAAAATTACAAACTGCAAGACAACAGTGCATCATCACATCAGATATTGGATCAAATCTTAAATGTCAATAATAATAATAGTTGTTTTCTCATTAAAGTGATATTTGACAACTTAAGTAGTTCAAGTAAAAAAGTGTAAATTACACTGAATATACCACCTCAAATAAAGTTTCACAGTAAAGCTTTTGTTTGTTATCCTGTTGACTTGTACAAGTAATGATATTGACTTGTTGGAAAAGGTTCAGAGAATGAAAGAGTTACATTACAGACATTAGTTAACACCTATTAACTTATTTTCTCTTGAAGAAAGGAGGGTAATAGGTGATCTTATTAAAGTTTACAGGATTATCCAAAGGATAAATAGATTTCTTCTTGTTGTATTCTGAAATAGTAGGATAAGAGAACAGAAGTTTGTGATTTTAAAAGGAAGGCTAGGCTCCTGTTAAGATAGTTTATTTTTATATTGAATTGTTGGAAAGGATTCAAAGGAAGACTACTAGAATAATATGTGGAATGAAAAGGTTGTCATATAAGGATAAATTAATAATATCTGGAATTAAACGGTTATCAAATAAGGATAAGTTAATATTATCTGGAATGAAATGATTGACATATAAGGATAAGTTAATAATATATGGAATGAAAAGGTCGTCATATAAGGATAAGTGAAGATCTCTGAAATGATTTTATTTTGATAAAGAGATAGACAATTTGATTGAAGTGTTTGAGATTATTAAGGGAACTGATAGTATCATTACAATATCGTTTTTCATATTTAATGGTGAGAATGCCGGGACAAATATAAATTCTGACAGAGTAAAAGTCATCTTCAGTTTATAGTTTTACTTTTCGAACATAATGGTTAGCCTTTGCAATGGGTTGTCTTAGATAAGATGGATGCAATAGATTTAAGGGAGTTTAAGAGAATTGATAAGTATTTAAATAATCGGGTCTGTTTTTTGTTTTCTTTTTAATTGGATAGGACAGTCTTAATGGACCAACATCCACGTTGTTGCCCTTATATATTAAGTGTAATTGGTATTAAATAGTATAGGTATAACTATCCATCAAAAAGAGATACATGTTGTTATGGAATATTATGCCTTTGTAATTTGTTTTATTTAACAATAATAATTTCAATGTAATCACAACCAATTTTGAATATTTCTGTTCATATTACTTTGTATTTTTCATAGTATTAGGCTAATAAAATGTTCTTTACAATGGGTGCATATTATAAAACTATGAACTTTTGTAGTCTATCAAAATATGCAATACCCTTAATAATACAAAATGACCATTGTCTCCAAAAACAAATTTACCTGACTTTCCAAGCCAAATTCCATATTTTCTAGGCCTGCACACGTGCTTCTGACATACACATTGATGTTTCAACTTTTCCTCATAATTATTAACTAATTAATGCTACTTTACCTTGTAATCTGGTTCTAATTGTAATTAAAATTTCATCCCATACATACTTAAAACTTAAATAAACTACATGAAAAAATCTTAAAACAAGGAACCATAACTTGATGGTAGACAATGACAGTACATTGTTAACATATATACAAGTATACTTGATCAAACAGGGAACCACAACTAGATGGTAGACAATGACAGTACATTGTTAACATATATACAAGTATACTTGATCAAACAGGGAACCGCAACTAGATGGTAGACAATGACAGTACATTGTTAACATATATACAAGTATACTTGATCAAACAGGGAACCACATCTAGATGGTAGACAATGACAGTACATTGTTAACATATATACAAGTATACTTGATCAAATAGGGAATCACAACAAGATGGTAGACAATGACAGTACATTGTTAACATTTGTATAGGTATACTTGATCTAACTAAACTAACTACTATAAAATACAATTAATTAGATAATTATCACCAGATAAAATAGAAAGGTTAACCAAGGTTATACTAAAGTCTACCAATAACCAGCATAGCCAAACAGCATAGTCTACATACACAAACAGAATCTGAGAAAACAAGAAGGAAAAATTTCCTCTGACTTTTCCAGATTTTGGGACAAATTTCTCTAGCTCCCAAATTCATGGCTACCCTGTCATACATCTCATTCAGGTGTAAAGTATGTTTAGTTGCTATTATTAGATTGGACAAATTTACAAAAAGCCGTTTGTAAACATTTCTCTGAAGCAATCATATTGTGCATGTACTACAAGAAAGCACTTATAACTCCAAGTTTGTTAGCACCCCAGTCAAAGCACTTGCTTTAAAACTAACAATAAATCACCTGTGCTAAAAATTTAATTTCAAGAAATTGCATATGATAAACACACTGTTTATCTAATGCTTTTGCATAATTTAGTATAACTAATGGAAGAACACTATATGTTTTGTGCATGATTCATATGCTACTTGTATTACGTTTCAGCAAACAAAAGAACATATTATAAAGTTATTTTTTCCTTCTAAGCTCCAACCTTGTTCTTTTACTGAAATGTTTGGCAAAAAAACCTGATGTACCTTGGTCCTACAACTAGCAGGTAATAAAAAAAACTGTAGACTATCCTCATCATTACTTTCCTTGTAACACTTTTCAAAAAAAAAAAGGTGAAAGGCCATGTAAAGCACTTGATTATTAACCCTTTAGAGATGGGTCACAGTTGAAAGGCCATGTAAAGCACTTGATTATTAACCCTTTAGAGATGGGTCATGAGTGAAAGGCCATGTAAAGCACTTGATTATTAACCCTTTAGAGATGGGTCATGGGTGAAAGGCCATGTAAAGCACTTGATTATTAACCCTTTAGAGATGAGTCATGAGTGAAAGGCCATGTAAAACACTTGATTATTAACCCTTTAGAG